CCAGAGGATATATGCCAATGTCTGGAGACATTTTGGGTGTCAAAACTGGAGGACTACTACCAACTTCTAGTGGGGGGAGGCCAGGGATGCTGCTAAACATTCTTCAGTGCACAGGCCGGCCCCCTACAACAAGGAACTTTCTAGCCCAAATGACTATAGTGCTGTAGCTGTGAACCCTTGTTTTAAACATATTGTGAGAGCCATTTCTGAGAAGTCTTTCTGACCATCATCCCCAGTCTGATTTAGATCTCTCTCTTTTCTGTTTTAAGATTTTATTTATTTATTTGAGAGAGAGAGAGAGACAGCACAAGAGGGGGGCGGGTCAGAGGGAGAAGCAGGCACCCTGCCGAGCAGGGAGCCCAATGCAGGAGTTGATCCTGGGACTCCAGGATCATGACCTGAGCCAATCGTCTAACCAACTGAGCCACCCAGGCGCCCCCCGCCCCCCCTTTTTTTAATTCAAATTCAAGTTAGTTAACATATAGTGTAGTATTGGTTTCAGGAGTAGAATTTAGTGATTCATCAGTTACATATAACACCCAGTGCTCATCACATCAAGTGCCCTCCTTAATACCCATCACCCAGTTAGGCCATCCTCCCACCTGCCTTCCCTCCAGCAACCTTCAGTTTGTTTTCTATAGTTAAGAGTTACTTATGGTTTGCCTCCGCCTCTGTTTTTATCTTACTTTCTTTTTCCTTCCCTTCCCCTATGTTCATCTGTTTGGTTTCTTAAAGTCCACATGTGAGTGAAATCATATGATAATTGTCTTTCTATGATTGACTTATTTTGCTTAGCATAATACACTCTGCTTCCATCCACATCATTGCAAATGGCAAGATTTCATTCTTTTTGATGGTAGAACTCCCTCTTCTGTGTTCCTCTATTACTTTGTGCTTTTCTCCTCATCACTTAATCTCACAGGGACTAGGTTTTATTAGGCTTATTTTTTTTTAAAGATTTTATTTATTTATTTGAGAGAGAGAGAGAGAGAGAAACAGCATGAGAGGGGAGAAGGTCAGAGGGAGAAGCAGGCTCCCCGCCGAGCCGGGAGACCGACATGGGACTCGATCCCAGGACTCCAGGACCATGACCTGAGCCGAAGGCAGTCGCCTAACCAACTGAGCCACCCAGGCACCCTTATTAGGCTTACTGATGTGTAGCTAGTACTCAGTAAATGTCTAGTAAATGAATACTATGTAGATTGTTTTACAGTATGGTTTTTTGGCTAAACTTTTAAAAACGAGGTTTTAGGATTAAAGGAAAACATTGCTCTTAATTAATCCTTCCCTGCCCGACTTCTGATATTAATATGCTATTTCTTTACTATTGTAGAAGCCAGGATTCTTTTGGTTATAAAGTAGAGAAACCCAACTCAAAGTAGGGTAAGCTAAAAGAGGATACTAAGGTCTTTCACAGAAACTAAAGACAGGAAGGCTTTGGGAACAAACCAGGCGCTTGAAGCCTCAGGACTCTTTCCAGCTCTTATCTAAGCCTTTCTCACTGTGTCTGTTCCAAGCTTTTCTTTCCATCTGTAGATTTTTGTCTTCCTCAGTCCACATGACAGCCAGAGAAAGACCAAGTTAACTTTCTTGGTGTTCAGCTCAAATAAATTCTTAGGGATAGGATCCATTGGCCCCACTTGGGTAGGATAACCCTTTGCCCAGTCAGTTGTAGCTTATGGTGAGGTCTAAGTACAAGTGAGGCGACTCCCACTGGAGCCATGTGGATGAGAGAGAAAGGAGCATGAACCCTGTAGTGTGGCTGCTGGGTGACCAGCGTCATGGGGTGGGCTGCAGCTCTCTCTAATTGAGGTATACACGGGGCGCCTGGGTGGCTCAGATGGCTAAGGGTCTGCCTTCAGCTCAGGTCTGGGATCAAGCCCCATGTCGGGCTCCCAGCTCAGCGGGGCGTCTGCTTCTCCCTCTCCCTCTGCCTCTCCGCCTGCTTGTGCTCTGTCTCTCTCTCACAAATGAATAAATAAAAATCTTTTAAAAAAATAATAATTGCGGTACACAGAACAAAGACACTGTGGGCTGCTCTTGTTCTCTGACCACCATCCTCATTGTTCAGTTCAGTGAGGTGTAACAAGGAGAATCACAGGAACCTTAGTTCTGGGTTTTACATTGTATTGTGTTATGTCTTCAACATCACCGTTCATGTACTCACCCTAATCCATCACTGTTTATGGATTCAAGAGAATTACATCCTTTGCTTCCATTTTTTTTTCCTATTATGTTGGTCTTGGAACAGATCAGAGGTCTGAGGGGAGACACATATGTGGTAGGTACCCCCCCACCCCATTTTATAGGCGATAGTCTGGCCAAGGTGGTTTACAGTGACAATTTCAGAGGGATTGTTTATAAGCTTTAAGTAATCTCCACACCCATTGTGGGGCTCGAGCTCACAACCCCAAAATCAACAGTCGTATGCTCTACCATCTGAGCCAGCCAGGCACCCCAGGATTTTTCTCAGTTGAAAGAGACAAAAACCCAGCTCAAACTAGCCTACACATAATAGAGAATTTGTTGGCTCATGTAACTGATGTTCAAAAGGTGATTGTGGCTTTAGGCATGGCTGAATCCAGGACCTCAGATGATCTCCTCTGAATTGTCTCTCAGCTCTGCTTTCTTCATTATTTCCTTCATTCTATAAGCAGGCTCTCCTCATTAATGGCAGAAATGATCTCAACACCTCATCCTACCAGCTGTGCAACCCCAGGGGAAAGAGCCACTCTTGGGAGCTCCATAGAAGTGCCAGGCATCACTCTCACTGTCCTGGGTTGGGTCACATGTCCACAGGAAGTAGGCTATGATTCCTAAAGGAAAACTGGTGCTATTTACAGAAAATGGGATATTAGATAGGTGAAGTAGGAGATGTCCACTATGCCCTCACTGCTGGAAGCTTCTACTGAAAGCTATCTCTACACCCAACGTGGGGCTCAGACTCATGACCCTGAGATCAAAAGTGGCATGCTCTACTGTCTGAGCCAGCCAGGCACCCCTGCTCTTAAGGAATTTTTAATCAAGTAATAGAAATTAAACATATATATAAATAATGATTACTCTCATGTGTTGAGTGCCTACTATGGGACAGTAGGCACTTTGTTAAATGTGTTTTGTTTTGTTTTTTTAAGATTTATTTATATATTTTAAGAGAGAACACATGCTGGGGGTGGGGGCAAAGGGAGAGAGAGAAGGAGAAGACTTCCTGCTGAGCTTGGAGCCCAACACAGGGCTTGATCTCATGACCCCAAGACCACGACGTGAGCTGAAATCGAGTCGGACCCTCAACTGACTGAGCCACCCAGGCGCCCCTAAATGTTTTATATACATAATCTCTTTGTGGATAACTCTGAAGTCACTTCTATTTTTACTTATACCCATTTTATCTATTTAAATAAAAATAAAACAGGCTTAGGAAGTTTATGTAGCCTGCCCAAGGTCACATAACTAGTGAAGAGTAGCTGATGAATCCAGTCGGTTTTGACTCAGTCCAGTGCTGTACTTTAGCTGGCACTGACCTAGCAAGGTCTTTCTGCCATTCCATTCTTTCTACCCTTTTAAGTCGGACACCGTGATTCTAAATTCCTGAGAACTATCTGACTTAGCTCATCTTTTCTAGGACATCACAGTTGATGGCTGGTCTCTTGCGTGGCCTCCCTCGTATTAGGTGCCCATCCTCGATCCAGTTAGCCCACCAGTTGGAAATCCACAGGAGGGTTTCAGTCACTGTTCAGCGACTTCTTTGGGTTTGACCCTTAGAAAGTCCGAAGAGGAGGCATGGCAGCCTCACTGCTCTTTGAGTCCTTGCTCTCCTGAACCTCCCTTCTCTATCCCCATGACTACCACCGGAGTTCAGACTATCACCATCTCTCTCCTGCCTACACGTTCTTCCTGTCTCCAATCTCACCCCTGTTGACAGAGTGAAGAATACTTTTATTGCATCATTCCTTTGAAGTCTTTCAGTGGTTTCCCATAGCCTTCAGGGTAAAGCCCAAACTCCTTACATAAGATTTCTCATGGCCTGATCCTTGCTTGCCTCTCTAGCCTTGTATCTAGACACTCCCTCCTTTGGGTCCTTCAGATCAGCCTTTTTCTGAACCACTCAGAGTTCCCTGAACCTATCATATGTCCTCTTACTTCTGGGCTTTTGAATGTACAGTTTCAGGTGCCTAAAGCCCTAAAGATAATGCCCCACACTGCCCCCCATCCCCAACACCCAGCTACTCCTGCTTGTCCTGTTGATGACACCTACTCCTGTAAAACTTGTCAAAATCACCCTCTCCTCTCAGCCTGGGTTAGGTATCCACATTTTTTGCCCTCATAATGCCCTGTCAAGGCATTTATCATTTCATATTTTATTTTATTTTTTAAAGATCTTATTTATTTATTTATTTGAGATAGAGCGAGAGTGAGTGAGAGAGCACAAGCAGGGGGAGTGGCAGAGGAAGAGGGAGAAGCAGGCTCTCCACTGAGCAGGGAGTCCGACATGGGGCTCGATCACAGGACCCTGATATCATGACCTGAGCTGAAGGCAGGTGCTTAACCGACTGAGCCACCCAGGCGCCCCCATTTCATACTTTATTTTTATTTTTTTATTTTTTAAGGATTTTATTTATTTATTTATTTGACAGAGAGAGGGAACACAAGCAGGGGGAGTGGGAGAGGGAGAAGCAGTCTTCCCACTGAGCAGGGACCCCGATGCAGGGCTCGATCCCAGGACCCCGGGATCATGACCTGAGCCGAAGGCAGGACGCTTAATGACTGAGCCACCCAGGCGCCCCCCCATTTCATATTTTAAGTGTACGCTTATGTAGTATCTTCTCCTGTTAGAATTAAGTTTCTTGAGTCAGATTTTCCCCCCCAAATGACTGGCACGTAGTAGGCGCTAAATAAATACTTTTTGAACAAATGAATGGATCTTGGCAGTGAGTTCAGATTGGCACGTATTTGTGGCTTCTTTTGAACTGGGCTTTTTTTTTTTCTCTTGCTCCTTCCAGGACCTGGGTTTCAGTGATGAGACATGGGGTATGATGTAACCCGTTTCCAGGGGGATGTTGACGAAGACCTTATCTGTCCTATTTGCAGTGGAGTCTTGGAGGAGCCAGTCCAGGTGAGTTGGTCTGATGGCAGTTTTGGTGGGAGCCATAGACGACAGTGGAGCTAATAGAAAATCTAAGGCACTGTGTTCTGGCTCCCCTTCCCCCACCCCCTTGACGCCACACGTACACAGATGAGAGGTTTGGTGCAGAGAAGCAGTGGTGGCTGCAAAAGGAATAGGGCCTTCCAGAGTCTGTCTAGAGGTGGATGCCACAGAAGTCCTGGGCTTCAGATTTTCTTCTGATGTTGCGCTGAGATTTTTCTGCTGTAAAATGGTCACCTTTTTTCTGTCTTTTGACAGTAGTTCAGGAACTTCCTTTCCTCTGCAGCGGCTCTGACTAGGTTCCATATTCCTAGCTATGATTGAACTTCTAGACTTTCCTGATAAGTTCTCTCTCTGTGATGATGTAATGTTTCACTTAATCAGCCGGTCTGCCTGCAGGCCTTTTCAGCCTGCTTACCAACTAACAAACAAGGAGTGGGGACTCCATGTATTGTCCCCTTTTCTTCCTGGGATTTATTAGAAAAACCAATTTTTGATGCAGCCTTGTACTCTGCATTTTGATATGAAAGCTGCCACCTTCAATAGGTCATTTCCCTACAAGCCTTGCCAGTCAGTTGTATCTTCCTGGGGCAAGTAGGAGGAGAAACTCGTGATTAACAGGGAAGTGTAACGAGTGAGATGAATTCTTAGCAACAGTATTCATGGACATCATCCTGCGCAGTTCTTACTGCTCGCCTTCTGTAAATACCAGTTAATCCTCTGCCACTCCTGGCTAGCTAGACCTAATCCCATTTTCCAAACCAGGACACTAGTCAGTAAGGTCTCATGGCCCTTCCCCTACTCACTGCTTATACAACTCCCAGGGGCTCCTCTTGATCCTTTGAGTTTATTCTTACTCCAGTTTTCACCCATCCAAAGGAGCGCAGATGCCTGAGCTGACTGAATCAGACTGCATTCCAGCAGCAGCTAGCCCTGGACCTAACCCCTATCCAGGCCTTTGCAGCCACCTGCCATTAGAAGCAGATTGGCTGGGTGTGGAGCAAGCTCTCCTGGTGGTGTCAAGAGGTCATGGGCTGTGTCAGTTCCTTCCCTCCCCTGGCACTGTCATTTGAGGTGAGTCACGTGTGGAGAAGTCAATGTGGGTTCGTGACAGTCCAAGTCAGGAGCCACCCCCCACCTCTGCCTTCTGAAGAACAGGTCAGGCAGACCTCAGGATGCCAGGTTACCAGACACATACCCAAGAGTAGAAGGCACCTGTTAGGAATGCTGATTTCCCTACATCTTTTTTTTTTTTTTTTTAAGTAATCTCTACCCCCGATATGGGGCTCAAACTCACAACCCTGAGATAGAGTTGCACACTCCTCCGACTGAGCCAGCCAGGCGCCCCCCTACGTATTTATTTAAGTTTTGAATAGGCAATAAATTCATGTGGTTCCGAAATCAAAACAGTATAAAAAGGCATACAGTGAGAACTCTTACTCCATCCTTGTCCCAGCCTATGTAACCCCCCCCGATAGTTAACTCTTTGTAGTAGTTTATTTGTCCAACTTTTCTTACACAGAACGTAGCACATTCTGCATATTTTTGCAGGGGTGGCAGGATTGGATGGGATGGTCATGAGAGAGGTGACAGTTGGGACGAGATCTGAGTAATATGGGGATGTTCTGCTGAAATTGAGTGGAAGAGCATTTCAGTCAAATAGAAGCTTCAAAAGTGAAGCTCCTGAGGCAGGAGTGAGCTGGATGTAAACAAAGAACAGGAAGGAGGCCAGACTAGCCTGCACACAGTGCTGGGAGCGTAGTGTGAGGTGAGAAGAGGTCAGAGGCACAGGGCCAGATCCAGCAGAATTTTATAGGTCCTGAGTAGGAGTTTGGATTTATTTTAAGTACGGTGGGAAGCCATTGTAAAGTTTGAGGCAGGGGAGTGATAAGATCTAGTTTTCATTTTGAAGTGATCACTCTGGCTGATGAAGGTAGACTGAATTTTAAAGGGGTGGGGTAGAAGTAGGGAGGTCAGCTGGAAGACGTACTTAATAATGTAGGTGAGAGATGATAGCTTGAACTGGGTTCGTGGCAGGACAGATGGGGAAAAGTGGACAAATTTAGGGTTTTTGTTTTTGTTTTTTTTTTTTGAGATAGATCTGTAAAGATTTTGAAAAGACTCAAATATGTCTTTGAGTGAAAAATAAAAAATCTACTGACAGTTGGATTAGTGACATTGAGAATGACTTTTTTTTTTCTTTTAAAGATTTTATTTATTTATTTGACAGAGGGAGAGAGAGAGTGCACGAGGAAGGGCGGCAGGCAGAGGGAGAGGGAGAAGCAGGCTCCCTGCTGAGCAGAGAGCCCTACATGGGGCTCGATCCCTGGACCCTGGGATCATGACCTGAGCTGAAGGCAGACGTTTAACCGACTGAGCCACCCAGGTGCCCTGAAAATGACTTCTTCCTTTATGAGGGCTTTCTGTGTTTCCAGTCTTTGGTATCTGTGAGCATCTCGAAGGCAGAACCTGTTTTTGTATCTTAAGCACCTAGCAGAGTGTTTGGGACATGGCACGCCATTTATTCCTCAGCTACTAAGTGCATCCTGTTTGTCCCATGTCAGAAGCCAGATGGTGTCTCCACGGAAGCCCAGGAATCCTCTCACTTTGAGGGATTCACTTCAGAGATTATCTGAGTTATCAGGGAAGGAAGCTGAAATAGGACCTTTATGAAACTGAAAAGAATGTGATTCTATGAGGAATTGGCTCTGTTTTGGAGGATAGGCCTTGCCATTAGGATGCAGGCAATGCCTCAGGTCAACCCTCATAAGATAGGAACTTGGGCCCCTACAGAGAGGACTCTCAACCTCTCACCAGGAGTTCCAGGCTTTTGTTTTGTTTTGCTTTGCTTTCCTACATTGCATTTTTGCCAGTAAATCTCTTCCCTGTGTCCTCTCTACTCACCCGTATCAAATTCTGTCCTCTCCATAAATACCTGCCCTGACTGACCTAGCCTAGAAAGATCTCGTCCTCCTCTGGACTTTGGCATTTATTGTGTATGCAGTCCAGTTGGCAATTAATCAGCTGTCTTATGTCATCTCTCCTATTGTCCTGGAATATTATTTATACCTCTTACTATTATGTAACTTTTTCCTTGTTTGTCCTATGTCACAATCCATTTGGAATCCTGAGCACAGGAAATCCATCTGAAGCCTGTCCCTGCACCATGCCTCGCCCATGGCGCATCTGTACTTAGCTGTGACCCCAGGGACCTCTGGTCCTGGAAGCTGCTCGGAGGCTTGAGTGGCTTTGCGGAGTTATCGTATTCAGGCTCTTAGCTCCTGCTAATTCTCTTGTGCCCCCTTTGCCCTGCTTTTCCTTCTAGGCACCTCATTGTGAGCATGCTTTCTGCAATGCCTGCATCACCCAGTGGTTCTCTCAGCAGCAGACGTGTCCGGTGGACCGTAGCGTTGTGACGGTCGCTCACCTGCGCCCAGTACCTCGGATCATGCGGAACATGTTGTCAAAGCTGCAGATCGCCTGCGACAACGCTGTGTTTGGCTGTAGTGCTGTTGTCCGGCTCGACAACCTCATGTCTCACCTCAGCGACTGCGAGCACAACCCCAAACGGCCTGTGACCTGTGAGCAGGGCTGCGGGTGAGATTGCTTCCCTTCCTCTGCCCCGCACAGATGAGGGCCTTCCAGTTTATGACCCGCCCCACACGCTGCCCACACTCCCCATCCCCACTCCCGCGTCTCTGGATCCCCTGCTCACCAGCTCAGGAGGTCTCCTCGGAATGTACGCAGGAGTGTCCTTGGCCTCCCTGGCTCCCCGCCCCGAGACCGCACTTCATGATGCTTTTTGCTCTTGCTTTAATAAAAGAGAGGAGGCAACAATTCCCAGTCTGTGTGCTAATACTACAGACTGGTTTCCTTTATTCTTCCCTGTCAGCCCAGTACTCCTTTGTCTTTGTCAGATTGACTGCTCTGATTTCTAAGCTTCTCATATTTCCTCTTGCCCTGTTTTTTTTGTTTTTTTTCTTTATTTGGGGTGTGAAGTATTTGATTAAATACTGCTCACTAGGGCTGTGAATCTGGGGCTTCTCGGAAGGAATGAATGCACAGGCAGAATCTGTAGGAGGAAAGGAGACTCGTGTGGTAGATAAAACACTGTCTTAGAAAGGGAAGGAGGCCCAGAGAAAGGAGAGAGCAAAGGAGTACAGGGGGAAGTGTGGAGCTAGGGGGAAGGAAATGAAGGGAATAAATAAGAGGGCAGCCCGAATATTTGAAATCTGGGCTAGGAGAAGGCCCTCTCAGCGATTTTCTGCCTTTGCCCACATGTCCCATTGAATGCTCCTGTTCTGCTTTTTTCCCACCCTGGGTGGCAGCCTGGAGATGCCCAAAGATGAGCTGCCAAACCACAACTGCATTAAGCACCTGCGCTCCGTGGTGCAGCAGCAGCAGACCCGCATTGCAGAGCTGGAGAAGACCTCCGCCGAGCACAAACACCAGCTGGCGGAGCAGGTAGGCCCCGGAGAACGTGGGAGAGAACCTGTCCCTAATGTGCAGATAAGGACATAGAACAGATATGTAACTGCGTGTGACCACACGTACGTGTGTTTGTATATGCTGTGTATGTATGCGGATAACTGAGGGCAAGGAGCACCAGTGTGAGCATGCAGGTGTGTGTGTGTGTGTGCGCACGCGTGTGCGTGCACACGCGCACACCTGGGTGAGCAGACACTCTGCCTGTGGCTTTGGTAGGGAATCAGATTGGAGCTCTTCTCCCTTTCCTTCATTGCATCAATGTCATTCGTTCACCTAACATTTATTAACTGCCTCCTCTAAGGAGGTACTCTGCTAAGCACTAGGGATACAGCTGCGATTGAGATCGTCACATCCCCATCTTTGTGAAGCTTACAGGTCTGGGTGTTCCTCAGATGCCTCAGTTGCCCTCATTCTTAGACAGACTTTTGTCTTTGTTGTCTGCCCTAACCATCATCCGTGATTCTTCTTTGCGCCCACAGAAGCGAGATATCCAGCTGCTAAAGGCATACATGCGTGCAATCCGCAGTGTCAACCCCAACCTTCAGAACCTGGAGGAGACAATTGAATACAACGAGATCCTAGAGTGAGTGTCACTCGGGACGTGGAGTCACTTGCGCCACGTCCTGGCACCGAGCCCTTAGAGGAGGAGGAGCAGGGGAGTGGCAGAAGGAGGCTAATAAGAGGGCTGGGCTGGGGCCACCGTTTCCAGATGTTGGGATGGACAGGGACAGAGAAGAGAATAACTTTCAGCCCCACTATAGGATCTCGTATTCTTTGGGGTGGGTGGAGGGGAAAGCTTACACAAGGACGCAGTTCATCCAGACTTAAGTGAGTGCCCACACAGACAGAGCCCTGTATTAAAGGCTGTGGAGTGCTAGGAGGGCCACGAAGAAAGAGATATTACCCCTGTCGTCAGGTAGCTCACAATCCAGAAGAGAATGCAAATCCAGGAGAGTGATCTAAAGTGCAGCATAAACAAGCAAAGTTGAAAATCCCTTTCAGTGCTGGAGTCCTGTACAATTCACAGACCAAATTCTAAGTGTGAATCAATATATGTCGTGCAAACAGTGCTGTGTGGGGCACGGTGTAGAGGACCATTGCTCCATTCAATACACATTTGTTTGTTTGTTTGTTTGTTTGTTTTTTAAGATTTTATTTATTTATTTGACAGAGAGACAGCGAGTGAGGGAACACAAGCAGGGGGAGTGGGAGAGGGAGAAGCAGGCTTCCTGGCGAGCAGGGAGCCCGATGCGGGGCTTGATCCCAGGACTCTGGGATCATGACCTGAGCTGAAGTCAGACACTTAACGACTGAGCCACCCAGGCGCCCCCAATACACATTTGTTGAGCACTTAGTACGTGCCCGGCACTGTATGTGCTAAGTATTGGGATTTTTTTTTTTTTTTTTTTTTTTTTTTTTTGACAGAGAGAGACACAGTGAGAGAGGGAACACGAGCAGGGGGAGTGGGAGAGAGAGAAGCAGGCTTCCCACGGAGCAGGGAGCCCAATATGGGGCTCGACCCCAGGACCCTGGGATCATGACCTGAGCCGAAGGCAGACGCTTAATGACTGAGCCACCCAGGTGCCCCTAAGTATTGGGATTTTTAAGAAAAATGACAGAAACTCTTCACTTGTAGAGTTTAATCTGGTGAGTGAGTAACATGTAGTGACTCAGGGGACCAACTAGGGGAAGATTTGGAGTTTCTGAACCAGGGATGGAAAAAGGAAGATGGAAGATCAGGGTTGAGCCGAGCACAGAGCAGGTGGTCATTCCTATTAGGAGAAAAAGCCAGTGCAGAGAAGGGGGATGAGCCGGAATGACTGTCTCCCACCCCCTCCACACAGGTGGGTGAACTCCCTGCAGCCTGCAAGAGTGACCCGCTGGGGAGGGATGATCTCGACCCCAGATGCTGTACTCCAGGCTGTAATCAAGCGCTCCCTGGTGGAGAGTGGCTGTCCTGCCTCTATTGTCAACGAGCTGATTGAAAATGCCCACGAGCGGAGCTGGCCCCAGGGTCTGGCCACCCTAGAGACAAGACAGATGAACCGGCGCTACTATGAGAACTACGTGGCCAAGCGCATCCCTGGCAAGCAGGCTGTGGTCGTGATGGCCTGTGAGAACCAGCACATGGGCGATGACATGGTGCAGGAGCCAGGGCTTGTCATGATCTTTGCGCATGGCGTGGAAGAGATATAGGAGCTCTCGACGGGCTAGCAGGAAGAGATGGCGACCAGAAAACCCATCACTCCAGCACCTGGCTCCCGAGTCCTCCCTACTATCCACAGAACCGTGGCCTACATTTGGGCCGCACGTTTCCCTACACTTCTGGCACTGAAGGGCCCAGGGCACTTTGCTCAGCCTTTCAGGTGGGAAACCCAGATTCCTTCCTTTTGCCTAATTTCTTCCCCTAAGATGTCTGTAAATTTTCAGTCAGTTTGGGAAAAGTCCCCCACCTCTATATCTGTTTTCCTGCCTAGGGTCCCTGGTTCTAGATATTTTTAGAAAGCACAAAGAACTCATTTTCTCTAGAGGATCAGGGTGGAGTGAGGACTATCTGATCGTTCCCCCTCCTCCAAAACCAGGGAATCAGAGCGGGCAGGCCTTTTGACACTAAACAACGTGCGAGGGCAGCTCTGGGGAGCAGACATCCTGAAGAAATGGTAAGGGTGGGATCAAAACCCTAGAAATAAGCAGTGAGGCCAGGAACTGATGGCCCTTAGGGGAAGACAGGACCTCTGTGCCAAGCAATACCCTGTCCAGCCCACCTTCCGGGTGCAGGTTCCTGCTGCTGCTGCAGGTGTACAGGCTAGGATGCCGGAATTTTCCAGATGAGTTCTGCTTTCTGACATTTTCTCATAGTTAGGGAATGACAGGGTTGGGGGTAGGGGATTAGTCTGTTGGGGTGGATGTGCTCAGCAAGAAGCAGCTCTCTGGCTTTTGCTGATATCAGGTAGGCACTGCCTCTGGCATGGGCCGTAATAGTTCCATAGACCCCCTCTCCAACCCTGTGATTGTAACTGGTTATTTTGATAATTTCCTTTGGCCATTGTTTGTATTTCCTTCCCCCCCACTTTTTTTTTTTTTTTTTAGAATGGCCTGGTTATGGCTACCCCACTTTTCCAGCCCAGCCACATTGTTGGCGATCTAATTTATTTACTTTTTTTTTTTTAAGAAAGGAAAAAGAAAAAAAAATTAACAAAGCTCAAAACTTTCTTTTTGATGTTCCTATTGTGGGGATTCTGGGCAGGGTGGGACAGGGATGGGGGATCTGTTTTATATTTTTCCTTTTCAGCACAACTGTTGGCTTTAATATAGGAAGGGCCAAGGGAGTCCTCGGCTGAACCTATGTCTGCCCCAACCCTCCCATCACCCCATCTGAGATGAGGCGCTTCCTCTATTCCAATGATGGATGCGGCAGTCCAATATCCATGCCTGTGCCCTCTGGAGAACTTTGCTCCCAGCCCTTCCACGGGTCTTCTTGTAAAACTCTGTATTTATAGAGTATTAATTTTGAAGACATTTCCACCCCCCAACCCCCGGTTTCCTTGGAGAGCCAGACTTGGATTCTAAGCTTCACCAGGCAAGATGGGAGAGACATGATGTCTCTGTGTCTCTGAGTACAGGCTGTGTTCTGGTCTCACGCATGCCCTCTAAGGACTTCAGCTCCATTTTCGGCTACCCGGGCATTCCTTGATCTTTAGGGTGGCTGGTAGAATAAGAGAAGGGGAGGGATAGAGGGTGTGATTATTTCAATAGGCAGGTGTGAGTGGGGTTGAAGAGAGATGGCCATATAACAGCTACTTCTCTCTTTGGAGTTTTATTCCAGGCTAGCTTGCTGTGGGTCTGGGGAGTTGGGTCATGGCTTCACTGGGAACGGGGTGGAAGGATACAACTTGAAGGGAGTAGGGAACAGTCCTATGTTCCAGCTCCAGGACATTGTGCTCAGGAATTTGAAAACGCTGCTATACTTAGTCTGGTTACTACATTTCTTCCACTCCTCTCTGCCCTTGCCTGCCTTACCAAGGCCTCTACCCTCCTGTCGTCACCCTCAGACGGAGCCAGGAAGCTCAGTTAAGTCTTCCCTCCCCTTTGCACTAGTGTCTCTGCGGGTTGCTGGTCGTGTTATATGTGCTGTTCCATGGTGTTGACTGCACTAATAATAAACCTTTTACTCAACTCTCAGTTCTTAATCCAACATCACTCCCTTTCTTGTGAAGCTTTCTCCTCTGCTTTGGCCTTTCTCTCACCCTGATTCCCCTTATTTTGCTTTATAACCTACCCTTGTCTTAGAACTAGCCTCTGTTTTAGCAAGATGTCTGTCTGGGAGTGTGCACCTCACCTTTTTGCCCTTTGTGCCCTCCAACACCCTCCCTCCTGTCTCCTGGTGTGTAGCAGCCAATGTGTTCTCGCCAGTGATCTGAACTGTGTTCTTTCCGGAGTTTGCCTTTGCCCCAAATTCCATGTCTTCCCTAAGTGCTCCTGGAGTTTTAGGGCTGTTTCTACAGAAGGTATGCATGCACCCTTCTCCCTTGCCCCACAAGCACCTTCGTTTTGGAATCTGGGATTCCATCGCCCAGTGTGTCCTAACCAAGGAAGTAAACACGGGGAAGGGAGCGTGGGGTGACTTTACTGCTCTGGTTGTCAAATCTCGATAAAGCCTTACCTAGGCATTTGCTGCCACCTGCTCTTCGGTCATGAGAAAAAGGAAATCTTTTCACCCAGTAGTGTCTTTTTAATTTGTTGAGTGTTTATGATGCACTTAGTGTAAATCCATTAGCACTCTAGATACTCTAGTGGGGCTAAAAAGCAAAAGGGCATAAGGACAGCCCTGGGCCCACTGAGTCTGTTACACTTGTGTGCACACAAGCTCTGATTCTAAGCTACTGGTGAACACATGACACTGCAGAGCGGCAGAGGTAACAGGTATAGTATCTAGTATCTAGGGATACCAGGAGTGCTCTTTTTTTCCCTGAAGCTCCTTCAAAATTACTTTCAGAACCTGCTGCTTGTTCTTTTGAATGTCACAAATGGTGCCAAATCTTTCTTTTGGGGTAGATTTGGTTTTGGGGAACAATATTCATTGGCTGTATTCTGCAAGGAACTCAGGTGGGTTGGGTGTCGTGCAGCACGGCAGCACGTACTTTGAAAGAACTTACTCCATAAGGGAGATAAATATATACTAGAATAAGACGTAATCAATATGGTAAGTAGATCTGCAAGCAATACTTGAGCAGAGGGAAGATAAAGGCACTGACTCTGATGGGTACCAGGAAAGACTTGTTTCAGAGACATGGTATTTGTTCTGGATCAGAGTTGGCGTCCTGCCGCCTGCTTTTGTAAAAATGTTTTACTGGAACACAGCCATGCCTGTTTGCTTATGTATTGTCTGTAGCTACTTTTAGATTACAGCAGCAGAGTGGAGTAGTTCCACAGAACTATGACCCACAAAGCCTAAAATATTTGCTACTTGGCTCTGTTGAAAGTTTGCCAACCCATTCTAGACTTTTAAGGTCAGGAGAATGGGTGGGGGAAGCATGAAGGTTGGTTTCAATTCTTTACTTCAGTATTCTAATTTGAAGAATCAGAACATTTTTTTACATTGCTACCATAACAAATGCTTAAAATGAACCTATATTCACATTTCTCCAGTAGTCTCAAGAAAAGTACTTTTATTTCTTTATTTGAGAGAGAGCACACTAGCAGGGGGAGGGGCAGAGAGAGAAGGAGAAGCAGACTCTCTGCTGAGTAGGGAGCCCGACATGGGGCTCGATCCCAGGACCCTGAGATGATGACCTGAGCCAAAGGCAGACCCTTAACCAACTGAGCCACCCGGGTGCCCAAGAAAAGTACTTTTAGAATTTTTGTCCAGTCCTGGATCCAATCCAGGAAGCATGCATTACACTAGGTTATGTGTCTTAACTATCTTTTATACTTTTTTAAAAAAGATTTTATTTATTTGAGAGAGAGATAGCAAGAGAGCACACAAGTGGGGAGGAGAGGGAGAAGAAGGCCCCCCATTGAGCAGAGAGCCTGATATGGGACTTGATCCCAGGACCCTGGGATCATGACCTGAGCCAAAGGCAGACACTTAACCAACTGAGTCCCCAGGTGCCCTACTTTTATACTTTTTAAAAAAGATTTTTATTTATTGAGAGAGAGTATGTGCAAGTTGGGGGGGAGGGGCAGAGGGAGGAGAATCCCAAGCAGACTCTGTGCTGAGCGTGGAGCCTGATGTGGGGCTCCATCTCAGGACCCTGAGATCATGACCTGAGCCGAAATCAATATTCCGATGCTTAACTGACTGAGCCACCCAGGCACCCCATTTATACTCAATCTAGATTTCTGGAACAACCTTTTTTGTAACGGCGATCTGTTGAAGAGATTGGGCCAGTTGTCCTGGAGAGTGGTCTTTTGGATTTGATTGATTGCTTCTTCACAGTGCCCCTTAACTTCCTTTACCCCTATTTTTACTAAACAATTAGATCTAGAGTCTGAGAGATTCACGTTAAGCAGTTCTGGGGTAGAAGACATCACAGGAGAGATGTTCTTTATGTTGTGTAACATCAGGAGATAGGTCCAGTTGTCCCACCGTTAGCCTGGTTTCTTCATTTATACTTGGGATTGTTGAGAGGGTTTTTATTTTTATTTATTTTTTATTTATTTTTTTAAGATTTTATTAGAGAATGAGAGATAGCACGAGAGGGAAGAGGGTCAGAGGGAGAAGCAGACTCCCTGCTGAGCAGGGAGCCCAATGCGGGACTCGATCCCGGGACTCCAGGATCATGACCCGAGCCGAAGGCAGTCGCTTAACCAACTGAGCCACCCAGGCGCCCGAGAGGGTTTTTAAAAGCTGGCTGCGTGTCCTGGGAGAAGGGGACAGCCGGCAGTGTAGCTCAGCTCGGTTGCTGTCACACAAGAACGGGGGCCCCACATTGCCAAATCTTACTTTCCAAGAACCATCGGCCATCCTAGTGCTTATGCCAAGTATCACAAATTTTAAGTGTTGGCTCAATTAGAAAAAAACACTTGTGGCCCCCCCAAAAATCTAGGGTTCATCAGTTTGCAACCCCTGCTTTAGGTTTAGATCATAGCATGAATAAAAACAAGTGGAGGTGAAGGATATGTTGAAGAAAGAAGAGACTAGTGTCATCTGGAGCATTTGAGTTTGTCAAAGAAAATAATGAAAGATAAGACTAGAAAATCATTTGGGGTCCAATTCTGGGAGGCTTTGACTACATGGCAGGGTATTTTGACTTTAATTTTACAGGTAAGTTTTTGACAAGAGGAGTAACTTCCAGCATGATTCTGGTGGCAGTATTAAATAAGCTTTGCTGTAATTCATGCAAGAGTTTAGAGCTTGAAAGAGTAGGAAAGAGAACAAGAGACATCAGGGAAGAAAACTGACCAGCCTTAGTAACTGACTAGATTCACTCAGCCAACATTTATAGCTTACCTGTCCTGTGTCACATGTGGTGTTAGGCATTTAGGATACACAAATACTTGAGAAACAAGTCCTTAAAGGAATTTGTATTTTAGTAGGTGACATGCACTTAAGTAAGGAATGGGAAATACAGAATAATACATTGCTAATAAAGATTCAGTACAATGGGACAATGAGGAGGAAAGAGGTCAGTTACCTACTACCAATGGTGAGATGCTTCTCAGAAAAGTCACTGAACTGAGTTCTGAACAGGTCCAGATACTGGCAGTGAGGAAAGAGGTTGAGTATTTACTGTTGAGTCAGGCATTATTGTAAGTATCAAACATTTCGACTTCCCAACTACTTTATTAAAAGGTGCTATTGCCATCTCCATTTTCTATGTGGGGAAATAGACAACAAAATTAACATGGGTAATGATTAGAACTGGGATTTGAACCCAGAAAGTCATTTCAGAGCCTGAGTTCCTAACCACTGCACCCAACAAGAGGCACATAACCAAAGATGAATCACAGATTAAGATTGTCTGTGAGAATGAAAAATAGGGTCATTACTAACCTAAATAGGGAGGAGGAGAGGGTGAGCAGGTTTCAGGGGTGAAGTAATGAGCTCATGTGGGGAACTTTGGGGTTAAAATGCTTCCACATAAAGGTAGTTAGCCAGTAAGTGGAAACGTGAATATGGAGCTTAAGAGCAAGAAGTTAGGGTTAAAGATGTGGCTTTGGGAGTTATCTGCCCAAAGGTGATCAAGAAATTCTAGGAATGAATGTAAACACTAAAAGGATAGGAGGAAGGCTAAGAATGGGACTTTGGGGAATTCCAGAAGTAATCGGGAACAAAATCTGAAAAATAGATGAATGATAAAGTTGGCGAATGCCTCAGCTTTTTTTAAAGTAATTTTGAAGGAAAGATTTTTTTATTTTGTATGATAGTAGGATTATGGTTGTGTTTTGAGTACAGTTGACAAGTAATGAATCATTTAAATGTGGCTCATAAACTAGCCGTGAAGGAGTTCCCAGAAATGTTTTTGCGCAATGACCACATTCCTGAGATAAGTGTAGGTTGAGATAATTTCAGCTGAAGTCCTCTAATGATTACTGGATAAACCATGGAGATCCAGACCTCTTAACAATTTGGAACAAGTCAGCAACTTGGAAGGGGACAATAAGTTCTTGTGTGTCAGATGTCCCCACATTAGCTTTTTAGTCACATAAAAGCAGTTTTGGTTAAGATCTAAGAATTTGTCGCTGAAAAGATCAGTATAGGGTGGCATTAGCTATTCGGTTATAAGGTGAAGGAGCTGCATGAGAGAAGGAATTAACCTGTCACATGGAGATACTCAGCCTGAATAGATTGGGGGTATCTTGCTAGAAAGAATTAAGGATTTTTTAAAATGGGTGATTTAGGCAGAGTGTGTTGACCAGAGGAGCATGTGTGTGATCAGATGGGGCGTTGAAGTCCCTGGACAGGGGAATATGATGAAAGCAGTGTTGCAGAGCTCTAAATATGGTGAAACTGGGGCACCTGGAAGGCCATTGTAACAAATAAGATGATGTGGTGGAAGAAGCAATGATTGATGAATGTCAGGCATGGGAGAAAGAAAAATGCCAGATTAATTCTTAAGGTTGGAATTGCATGAATGGTATTAACAGAAATGGGAAAAGTCAAGAATGTCATTCTGGGAACAGAGAAGTTTTGTTTGCATTTTAGGTGATGTATAGATAGCTGGAGGTATAGGACCACAGTTTGGCTTGCGAGGAGGGAAAAGAATGAAGCTTTTGGCAGAATTCTACAGGAGAGAGAAAACAAACGAGATGAAGAAACAATGTTCTAAGAGAAAAACGCAAGTACAGTGTCTCTCAAGTCCAGTAAGAAATCAATGGTTCCAAGCATAGCAAAGTTTTTACAACAGGATATTAAGATAGTTGTGAAGCTGGAGGCAGAGAGTATACATTTTATTCGAAAAATAGAAGTATGGGCTCCTGGCTAGCTCAGTCAGTGGAGCGTGGGACTCTTGATCTTGGGGTTGTAAATTCGAGTCCCAAGTTGAGTGTAGAGATTACTTGATAAAATCTAAAGAAAAAAATGGAAGTAGGGGCGCCTGGGTAGCTCAGTCGTTGAGCGTCTGACTTTGGCTGGGGTTATGATCCCAGAGTCCTGGGACAGAGCCTGAGTCGGGCTCCCTGCTCTGCAGGAAGCCTGCTTATCCCTCTCCCCCACTTGTGTTCCCTCTCTCGCTGTGTCTCTCTCTGTCAAATAAAATCTTAAAAAAAAAAAATGGAAGTAGAAAACAATGTGATCATTTGGAATTGTCAAGTGGGGGTGTAGTTTAGTTCTGATTTAACGGATTGATCCAGTGGGATAGAATTTGAACATGTTATGGAAGGATGTGAATGGAAGTTTCCTTAGGAGGTTGAAATGAGTGGAATCACAAGCCTAGGTGGAGAAGGTAGCTTTAGGGCAGATGAGCAAAGTCAAATACCGAACCAGAAACTAAGGAATGCCTGGGGGTACCTGATCATATAACCCAAGGAAATGTATAAGGATAGAGGATTTGTTGAGATGGAAGAGGAAAGGTGAAGGAATTGGGGAGTTCAGGTGGGCTGTGGGGATGGTAGAAATTCGAAATTATCTATTGTACATTAAGGTTTGAAGTCTTGGCCTCTCATCTATGACAGTTACAAGGGAAGCATTCTGAGAGCCAAAGGTAGGACCTCCGAGTACCAAACAACCTCTTGCTAGCTTTTCCGTCCACGTCCTCCATTTTGTAAGCTACGGTGCCTTCTTCCCTTCGCAACAGTTGTTGGTTGCCCTCTGCTGGTCAATTTTGGTCTTGCCTCGCCAGACACATATCTGAGAGCATGCGCAAAATGGCACTTGGCAGGAAGCTGAGTATTGAGCCTTGTTAGAGTCTGTTCATTCAGTACATACTTGATCACATCTGTGTTTAAAGGCCTAGTAAAGGAAATACATACAAAAACAAAATACGCAGTCCTAACTCTTAATAAGCTAGTAGTCCAGAGTGAGTGAAGATTAAAACATATACAAAACTACTGTAAAAAAAAATCCATTTACTCAACAAAGATTTTTTTTTTTTAATTGAGTGGCTTATATGTGTTAAGAGTTGAGGTTCTACTGGGGAAGAAAGACTTCACAAAACATGATTAGGGTATGGTGGGTGGCAAGGGGTTAGAGATGACTTCCCAGGAGAACCGACACTGATGTGGAGGCTGAGTAGAAGGTGAGGATGGGAATAGCATGAACACAGACAAATACTATAACAAAGAATGCCAGTGATTGGAAAGTAGTGAATAGGAAAGAATGGTGAGTGAAAAGGGACCAGGTCATGAAACACAAAAAGCAGCCATGGGAGGGCTTAAGGTCTCCAGCTACAACAGGATGCTTTAGTGCAGCTTCACATATATTAACTCATGTGGTCCTCACAGCCTACTTTCCTATCACTCCAGCACGTGGTCGGCCTAGCCTGCACTCACCCTAAGAAACGTGAACAGATTTAACATCTATTTAGGAAGCAGAATAAATATAACTTTTATTTTAATTCATTCTTGCAGAGGGGTGTCAAAGGAGATGTCTTGCATGCAACCAAGTCGATGGTGGTGGTAGAATGACGGGTTCCACCTGGAGTAATCAAGAGCCTCAAAGAGGAAGGATAAAAGGATGTGCAGGATGGGAAGTTATAAATGATGGGGGTGCCGGGGTGGGAAGGAGACAGTCTTGAGGATGATCTCAGAAGAGCATGAGAAAGGGTACGAAGGCAGGAAACTGCAAAATAGAATTGTGTAGAAAGCTCTGTGAATTAGTCTTGAACTCCCTGCCCTTTGGGAGATCCTTCTTGAAGAAGATGATGCTGTGCAAGAAATGAAATACAAAAAGAACACCTTCAACAAGTATCCTACATATTCCCCATGATCAGAAATTGGGGGATAGGTAGAACCAGATAAGGTGAGTACAGGGGGGTTAGAGGTTACAGAATTAATTCCCTAGCTTGATTAATACACGGAGAATTTAGAACAGTACTTGGCACATAGGGAGCATTCAGTAAAAAGTATTATCTCCCCACACTCAAGCTCCAGCTAGATCTGTAGTGTTTACGTTTCAACAGGCGACTTCCTCCTAGCCCAGTGATGTCCGAGATGCGCCTCCTCAAAGAAATCCAAATGAGAGAAATGCCTTTTCCTGGGTCTCAATTATAATCACACTGCCAGTCATGAAATCCAGAGGTGCCCTCTTTTCCTGGAAACTCTAATTTTGACTATTATGGCACAAAAGGCATTCAAATTTCCCAAAACCTAACCCTTCTTCAAATCCTTTGCCATTCATTCCCTTCCCCAAGAATGAAACGTGTGCCAAAGCTCTAAGAAACCTGAAGTTATAGAATTCGGAAAGTGCCTTGTATCCTAGCAGCCAATACAGTTGTGCACGATTAAGCTTCCCATGATCATCTCCATCCCTCCCAATCCAGAGGTGAGACCTCTCGGCTTCTATTTCTGAGAAAGAAAGGGAAGTGCACGAAAGACACGTGCGCGGGGGGTCCCCTTTACGTACCCTGAAGGAGGGGGGAAAAAAGCAGCCGTCACGAACAGGATTCGAACCTGTGCGGGGAAACCCCATTGGATTTCGAGTCCAACGCCTTAACCACTCGGCCACCGTGACTTCCAAAACCACGTTTCGCCGCGCGCTTACAGAAGGGGTCCGCATTGCGACCACAGAGGGAGTGTAGCGATGGGAAGCCGGCCCCGACCCCATACACACACACCCTGTGACCCCCGCCCTCCGCCCCTTACCTCGCCTCTACGCCACTCAAAGGAACAGGCGGGTGGGCCGGGTGACCCAGGGAGGGAGCGGGGAGTGTCCTCCCGCCCAGACACGATTGGGGTCTCAAAGAGCGCAAAGCTATTTAGAAGGCGATGGCGGGGCCTGCAGAGGAATCAGTTGGAGGGAAGGGGCTGGGCCCCAGGGGGGCGGCTGAGGACTCCTCGGGTTAAGGAGTGAGAGGGGGTGCTGACGCAAGGTGTTAGGAGTGAGGGAGACTCAGGAAGAGTTGAAACGGGGAAGTCCTGGGGATGGATGAAAGAAAGGAACTTCCTAGGGAAAGGGGTCTGGGGTTCCTTGAGATTAAGGGCTCCGTGGGGTTGGGAATGTGCAAGGTAAGGACCCCTCGGAGCTATGCGCTGGGGGTTCTTCCAGAGACCGACGTCCGTTTGGGGTAAGCTAGAGAGGTACCCCACTCCCTGGGCTGAGAGGCAAAGAGGGAGGAAAGGCTTCGCGTCTGGAAGAGAACGATCTCAGGGGAGTGGGCGCCCCCTCCAGGAAGCACCCGCCTTCCCAACGCTCCCGCCGCCGCCGCCGCCGCCGCCGCCGCCGCCG